ATCTTCTGTGGGCCTCATGTTATCTATGACGCTCAGCCTTTTCATTGGCAAAGCTAGTGATCTATCTAGTGAATACAGTTCAAAGGGGTTTGATCCGTTAGCCACAAAACTGTTAAGGCGGACACCGTGTCTCATGAGGGGGCTGACAGTAACCTGAGATGAGTTGTGACTGGGCTCTGACCTGTGACAGTTCGCCCTCTCCGTGGCCACTGCAGTTCTGATCAGTTAACCAAGCTCTGAGTGCTCACCAGCTTCTTACCTGGGACTTTCTCACCTTCCACCAGACAGCTGATTTCCCTAGCTGCTTTAACAGAGCAAATGCTTAAGAAGGAGGTTTGGTTTTGTTCGCTGCCTTTGGAGGCTGAAAGGCTGAGACCACCATAAACAGAGACATTTCATCCTACAGAGTGAAGGGAGCATCTTCCCTGGCCTCCCAGGATTTCCTGGGATTTTGGCATTTCTATTTGTAGACTGTCCCTGTAGCCTGTCATGCGAGGTGTTCTCGCAGTCTGTCCAGATGTCTCCTCAAATGCAGAACCAACAGGTCAGATGTGAGCCCACCTAAGGACCTCATCTTAACTATTGTATAAGCAATAGGTCTATTTCTTTTTCCTTTTTTTTTTTTTTTAAAGACAGAGCATCTTTTAAAAAGTTAGAGCATCTTTATTTTAATTTTTTCTGTGTAAGAGTGTTTTGTCCACATGTATGTCCGTGTACCTTGTGCATGGCTACTGCCCAGGAGAGGGTGTCAGATCTTCTGGGACTGTTTGGAGCCTCCGGATGGAGGCTAGGAATCAAATCCACACCCTCTAGAAACACAGCCAGTGCTCTTAGCTACTGAGCCATGTCTCCAGTTCCTACTGACCTTATTCCTATGGCCATATTCAGAGCTAGGGCCTCCACCTATGTAAGTAAGGAGTACTGAATTCAGCCTGTCACAGCGGCCTGTCCGATCTTGACTTTATTTAGTTTTTCCCACACATGCTTACTGCTTCCCCTGCTTGCCCATTACATAATCCGGCTCCATGGCCCAGCCATGAAATCATTTTGACCAGAAATGTAAAACTAGAAGCAGTGTGTATACCAAAGCAGGATCTTCCAAGACCTTTTTGTCTTAATGCGAGTAGTGTTCCTGATAGAGGCAAGGATGTATCTCAGGATAACAGTGGCACTGAGCAGAGAAGCTGCCGAGAGTTTCTGTTAATAATAATTTTATGCTGTGAGTTCCTGTTTTAGGGCTGGGAAGATTGAGGGTAAGGCACTTGTTCTGCAAGTGTAAGGGCATGCACTGCAACTCCCAAACTCACACAAAACTGAACAAGATAGTGTGCATGCATCCCAGCCCTCGTGTAGGAGGATGGAAGGCTGAGACAGGAGAATCCCACAGAAACTCAGGAGCTAGTGAGGGATTCACAGAGGCAAACAAGAGCCCTGTCTCAGATATAGCAAGGACCAACACCCAGTTATCTTCTGACCTGCATACCCAAACACACACACAGAAAGAGAGAGAGAGAGATAAAAACCATTGGGTCCTTTATTACTGCAGCATAAATTAACTTAAGCTGGTCGACCTAAGTGTCCAACTTCAGTGACACTATAACGTGAATGAAATTTTTTTTTCATTCATCATATGTTTGTTGAAAGCTCACTGTGTGGCAGGCTTAGAGCTGTGTCTTGGTCTCTGATGATATCAGCTTTGCTGACAGATACTCAAGTACCCAAGTGTCTGTCCAAACACCAGTGTGGGTATGCTGTGAAGGTAGTTTGAAGATGAAATTAGTGGTCTCTGAGGAAAGCTAAGTAGCAGGCTGCCGTTCAGGCTCCAGCCTGTTATGGCACCACTGCAACTGGTAGATGCTGAGAGGGGCAGCCAGGGCCAGGAACAGTTAGCAGTGAGAGACCTCTGTGAGCATGTTGAGAAGCAGACTTCCCAGAAGACAGCTTCAGTGAGACAGCTCCCTTAACGGGGGGAACAGAGGCTACTTCAACCTTTGGGGGTGGGGGAGTAGAGACTTTTGGGCTAAGTGTGTATCACTGACAGGGGTCAGGGTGCTGGGGTGCCTCATTTGTGTAAAGAGGAATTCCAGGTGCTACTGCCGGATGTGGCCTTATAGGAGGAAGGGAAGTCTAACCTGGCTACCAGGCTACATTACCTCCTGGGGTATGGGTTGGGGCTCTGGGCAGCTTCATGCACCATGACAAGCAAGTCCAGGAAAGCGGGGAATAGTCTGCCTTTTGCTGATTTCAGGACCCTTACTCCAGTCCCCCAGGCTCCCCACAGCAGCCCCAGTATGGATGAGCTAGGTTCCATTACTGTCTTTGGAGGAAATCAATCAATCAGTCAATCAATCAATCAAATCCGAGCAACCCACCTAGAACGTGACAATCCCGACCTCAGATTGGAGCTCTAACACAGGTTCCATACTGCTGTCTGCTCTGTATATTGCAGATTTATCAGCCTCACGGCCACATGACCAAAGCCCTTGAGATAAATCTCTCACACTTCCTATAGGTTCTGTTTCTCTGGAGAAACTTGACTGACCCAGCAGCATACAAGATATTTTAATAATCTAAGGACTTACAAGTGAATGAAGGCATGAAAGAGATGCTAGAAAGTACTGTATTTAACAGGAGCACATAGAAGTACTTGACCTTGGTGTGGGGAGGGCAGGAAAGGAAGTCTCATTTGAGTAACAGAGGAGCTCCGTGGACTAGGAGCTATCCAGGTGCCGCAGGGACCGGGCTGTGCAGTCCAGGGACTGAGTTGAGAACAGAGCATGCATTCCCAACAGAAGCATTCTCACACCCAGGAAAGCGAAAACGGATGCTCGCCAGGCAAAGGAAATGCTTGCTGTTGTGTTTGTGACTACTCACAACTCAGTGCTACCTGGCATACTGTTATTTCTCAACATAGACTACAAGGGAGGGGAGATGCTTGGAGAAGTCTATGGCATTGGTTCTCAACCTGTGGGTCGCGACCCCTCGGGATCAAATGGCCCTTTCACACAGGGGTTTCATATCAGGTATCCTGCCTATCGGATACTTATATTTTCAATGGGTCACAGCATTAGGAAGGTTGGGAAAGACTGCGCTCTATAGTGAGGCTGAGAGATGCTGATGCAGAAAGACAGTTTGTTAGAGGAAGAGTAGGAGAGAACAAGTATTTGAGGATGTAGGCCGATTGAGGCCTGGAACTATGATGGAGGGGAGGCAGCTGAGGGAAGTGGCTGACTCAGACACAGACTTTGAATAAAACTGAGTCAAAGTGTGCCTTTTACCTCAGCTGAACAAATTTGAAATTCAGTTGTACTTCATGTCTGTGTTGTCTGTTGCATTTGGGGGGGGGGTACATGTGGGAGGGGTACACGTGCCCATGAATGGGAGTCTGGAGGTCCACGGACAAGGCAGGGTATTTCTCTCTGTTGCTCTCTACCTTCTTTTTTGCAGGGTCTCTCATTGATTGCTCTGAAGCTCTGTGTTTCAGATGGACTGGGGGGCGGGGGTATCTTCCTACCTCTGTTCCCCATGTTGGAGTCACAGGCCATGTCAGAGCCTGACTTCTACGTGGGTGCTTGGGATCTGAACTCAGGCCGTCAGGCTCACAAAGAAAGTGCTTTACCCACTAAGCCATCTCCCAGACCTGGCTTTTTTATATGTGAATCTACTTTGTATTTCTGGTCACATGCTGAATGAATCATTAAGTTCTCAACATTGTTTCAGAAAGAGGGAAAGGCCTTTCATGAAGGTATCTTCTTCTGTCTTTTGAGTTTTATAATTGTATTCTCTAGAGTCGCATTATGTTCAGGCGGGACTTCATCAAAATGCTACCCTCCAGAGGGTTAGCCTCCAGAGAATTTGCTTGTGATTCCCTTCAGTGGAGTTTCAAAAGTTACAAATAGGAGCCGGAGAAAGTTATTTCTTCAGTATGGTTATTGGAAATAGAATGAGAACAATGGTCTATTTAATAACCATTATCATTATCTTTCTCCCAGATTGAATTAAAATTGCTTTAATATTCTATTATAAAATTCATTGCAAAAATGCTGTCAATCATTTTTTTTTTCCACCAGCCTGCTTACAAAGGACTTAAAGCTAATCCAATACCTTTTCGAGATAGTCGAAACATATGTAGCTTTTGAATTGAAAGAACATACCGTATTATATATGGTATGATAATTATAACTTCCAGTATTTCCTGGTACAGCCTTAGCTCACTGCTTTGCATAGACCTGATGGGAATGACTGCTCTATCTTTAGCAGCACCTTCCAGCCATATTTTTAGAAAGTCTTCTATGTGAAAGACAGTAGAAGATAGTGTAAGGATGGGCTATAGAAAGATCATGGGCTCAAATCCTGGGCTGAGGCGCTTTGAGACTGTTTTATGAACTTTGGCAGATGTGAAAAGTTTTTTTCAACTCACCTTCATGGTACCTCAACTTTGCTCATTCCTAAGTGGGATTCACAGTGCGACATAAGGGCTGATACAAACGTTAACAAAGTAAATTATGTGAAGCACACGGAACAGTGCCTGGCACAAAAGCATTGCTTCCTAATTCTAGCTACCATTATCTGTAACCCAGTGTTAAGGAGTTTAAGACCATTTATTGAGTTCTTCCTGTAGGCCATAGGAGAAACTTCTTATAGAACTGTGTGTGCATAATAAATTATGCAGCTTCATAGCATGACTCAGGATTCTTTTGAGACTTTTGTATTTGGTGTTGTTGTTGAGCTCTTGTGTGGTTCATGCCTTCAAAGTGATGTGTTGGGGTGGTATTCTTGTCCTTGGGAGAGACTGTGAAGATGTGAGGATGGCAAGGAAGAGCATTCTGTAGAGCAGTGGGGAAGAGCTGGACTCCTTAGGACTTTGCATTGGGCTCTAAAACTTCCTCCTGTGGTACCCTTTACAAGGTAACAAAGGGAAAAGGAGAGTGGCCCATTGTTTACTGACTGCTTTGGATTTTGACTAAATAATTAAAAGAACCTTTCAATATATCTTTCAGAAAATGGCTTTGAAATTCAAAAATGCCAAACGAATCGAAGGCCTGGATAGCAATGTGTGGTGAGTGTCTTTGACAGATGGTCGTGGGGTGAAGTTTCCTGTGCTCCCTTAAACTGGATTTTTAACTTCAGCTGCAGTCCAGTAATGACGCCATTCATTTACGTCCCCATTAAGAGTAAATGCTTGGACGCTAGCCATCCTTGAATACAGGTGCTGATTTATTCATTTAGCTGCTCTTGGGACTAGCACTGCATACATGGCAGAGAAAAGGTTGACTGACGGCCTTCATGAAATTTGCATCAAACTGTTTCCTTTGCTTTTTTTCTTGAACTAGGACCTTGCTATGTGTGTAGCCCAGGCTGGACCCAAACTCTTGATCTGCTTGCCTCAGGTTTCCCAGTACTGGGATTATAGCCATTTACAGGGATTACGAGTTTATGGGTGTGCCTCACACTCAGGTAAACTTTACTTATTAGCTCTCCTTTTAGCTGTTGTTAAGAAAAACTGGTAACAGCTCCGCCAACTGTGTGTATGTATATGTGACTGCATATTCTTACATATAACCATATATCTGTGTATATATGTCTCCATACATATATTCATACTCAAATATGAATGTCCCTGAATTGAGCTCTCTAGGAAAGTTAAGGTCATTATTTCAACAATCATTTGCTAGGTAAATTCATCTTGTTGGTAGTAACATTTTTGTTAGGAACTCGTTTTTAATCACTAAGACTTAAGTCCAATTTTTTTTTTTGTTTTATAATGTGAACATATGATATTGACGCTAACTCTATAATTATAGTACTTCCTACTTTTGTGTTTTTTTTTTTAAATCAGGGTTGAATTCACTAAGTTGGCTGCAGATCCTTCTGTTGTGAATCTTGGACAAGGCCTTCCAGATATCTCCCCTCCTTCATATGTAAAAGAAGAATTATCAAAGGCTGCACTAACTGATAACCTGAATCAGTACACGAGGGGCTTTGTGAGTCTATCAGGGCTTTGTGGGGTGTGCACTGATACCTCATGCCAGAGTGTGGGGGTGTGTGGGGGTGAACCCCTCTTCCTTAAAGGAAATTGGCTTTTGAAGATGAACTGTCCCAGCCTGGAAACTCAGGAGCCCCTTGCCCTTATCTCTTAGAATAGGCCTTCTCCATCTTCCGGTCCTTTCACACTCCCATTTTGGCTCTTCATTGACTACTGTTCTGAAATGAAATCTCAGGACATTAAGGGAAGGGAAAATATTCTCTCACCACATGTTTGCTATCTCATTAACACTCCTGGAGCCTTAGGACTAGCTTCTTAAAGAACCCCCTAGATGCTTACTTCCTTTTTAAGCCCCTAGCCATCATTCTGTGCTAGACTGCTCAGGTATCCAGACATTTCTTAGATTAAGATTAACTTTGCGCTATAGAAGTCCGAATAGTCTGCACAGGGCACTGCTATTGGGATGGGAGCACAGGGGAAACAACAGGACTGTCGGAGGGCCCTCATGGTCTCACTGTCTTCATTAGGATGTCTATCGCTATGGAAAATACCACGGCCAAAAGCAACTTGGGGAAAGGGTTGATTTCATCTTACAACTTGTAGCCTATCATCCAGGGAAGCCAGGAAAGGAACTCAAGTCAGGAACCTGGAGGCAGGAGCTGATGGAGAGGCCATGGAGGGGTGCTGCTTACTGGCTTGCTCCTCGTGACTTGGCAGCCTGCTTTCTTAGAGCACCCAGGACCACCAGAGCAGACATAGCACTGCCGGCAGTGAAATGGGTCCTCCCAGCTCAATCACACCAATCATCAATCAAAAACAAATAAACAAACAACAACAACAACAAAAAAAAAAGCATAGTCTTGTCCATCAGCCAGTTGGGGAGGGGTGCATTTTCTCACTTGAGGTTCCCTCTCTCCAAATGACTTAAGCTTGTGTCAAGTTGACATACAGCTAGATAGCACATTCACTCGCTGACCAGTCTATAAGCCCCCATATCAGACCTGAAACTATGGCAGTTGTAGAAGAAAATATAAGCGAAATACATCAAGCTACTGGTGTAGGATATGATTTTTTCTAAGGTTCCCAAAGCTACCAGGTAACATAGCAAAAATAGACAAATGTGTTTACCACCACTAAACATCAAGGAAATGCAAATAAACCCACAAGAAATCATCTCCGAGCCAGATGAAGTGGTGCACACCCGTAATCCTATTACTCAGGGAGGCAGAGGCAGGCGAATTGCTGTGAGTTCAAGGCCAGCCTGGTCTACAAAGTAAGCCCAAAACGAACAAAAAAAAAAAGGAAAAATAAAAAATAAAAAGACTCTCAGCCCAGTCAGAACGGTTATTATTTAAAAAGCAAAACATAACAAAGAAGAGGGAGAAAGAAAGAAAATCTCTTCCACGCTATTGATGTTCCTGTCGATTAGCGCAGGCGCCACAAAAGGCAGTATAAGTAGTAAACTGGCTCAATGGGTGAAGGCACTCGGGGTCAAGGCTGAAAACCTCAGTTTGATCCTTGGGCCACACCTGGTAGAAGGAAAGAAACAACTATGCAGTAGTTTTCTAACCTCCACAGATACACAGGGCATCATGGATACCGCCCCTCCCCAAACACAAAAAATAAATGTAAAAAAAAAAAAAAAATTTCAAAGGAGCAACACACATAAAAATGTCTGGATTTCTATGCAAAGAAAATGAAGACGGCATATCAGCGATACCCGTACCCATGTTTACTGAAGCTAAGATACTGAACCAGACTAGGTGACCATCAACAGAAGAATAGGAGAAATATGGCCCCTTCCCCGGTAGACTATTATTCTGCCACAGACAGAATGAAAACCAGACGTCTGCAGCAAAATGGATGGTGTTGGCAGACATCGTGTAAACTGGAATAATGAGGCAGACGCAAAAGGCAGACGCTGAAGATTTTGTCTCATGTAAACGCTAGAAAATGCAGATCTACAGGAAGATGAGATTTGAAGAGTAATTACTAGAGGCCAAGAAGAGCAAGTGGAAAGAGACAGGGAGATTAAGTAACAGATACTGAGACCTGGTGAGATGGAAGGAAAAATTTCTAGTCTTCTACACCTCAGAGAGGGATTATAATTCACAGTAACCTGTGATATATTTGGAGAGCTATGATAAAAGAGAGGAGCTTGAAGCTTCCAAAGAAAAGTGAGAGGAAAATGCTATTTGCTTATTTTTATCTATATACTATAGTCTATTCCGTACTGAGCTGTGCTCGCAGCCTCTAAATATGAGAATTATTACATATCTCACACTTAATGCATTTATCATTTTCTCTTTTGCATTTTATGACAATCACTGTCCTTGTTAAGTTTTTTTTTCATCAGTGGATACTTTGTTTCCTGGTACTGATAGCTATCAGCCACACTAGCTTGAATGTCCTTGGTGAATTTGGTTTTCCTTCTCTTAATCTGTGGTGGGCAGAACCTCCCCAGCAATTGTGAAAAGCAGATTTGGGGGATGTAGCGAATGCAGGATTTTTACATTTACTTTCACTTGGGAATTTTTGTGCTATTATAAATGTACAGGGAATTCATTTCTATTCAAAACAAATAATTCAAAATTCTGTATTTCCAAACCTTCCCTTTTGTGGACACTTTTCATCAGTGGCAAGTTTTCATAACCATTCATAGAGAAACCCTCAAAAGCTTTTCAAGTTTATTGCTACACGAATCTGGAGTCTGGAGGGATGACCCAGTGAGTAAGATCGCTTGTTGCTCTTGCAGAGGACCTGGGTTCAGTTCTCAGCACCTACACAGGGGCTCACACCTGCCTGTAACTTCAGGCTTAGGGCATCCAGTGCCCTCTTCTGGCCTCCACTGTAGTCATGTGGTGCCCATGAGCATGTGTAGGCAAAATACCTATATGAGTAAAATAGATCTTTTAAAAAATACAAATTTGGGAATAATGCTAAATATAAGCTGAAATTTAAAAATTGTTACATTACCTCAAAGAAGTAGCTTTCATAATGAATTTCAAGGTGGGTTTTTGTTTTGTCTTAATCTTTACTACAATAGGGTCATCCATCACTTGTGAAAGCTCTTTCCTGCTTATATGAAAAAATTTATCAAAAACAAATTGATCCAAATGAAGAAATCATTGTGACAGTCGGGGCATATGGATCTCTCTTTAATGCCATTCAAGGACTGGTTGACCCAGGAGATGAAGTAAGTACAGGAACCCTGTCATAACACCTACTCAGTGCTTCTGTCCCATCTTGGACCTTTTCCTCATCTTGTTCCCTTCTTTTTTACTTTCAATCCATTTTGAAGTCTAATGATGGTGCAGTCACGTTACCAAGCCAATACAGAGTGGCATAAATTGCCACACAGTACAGCGAACATAAAGACATTGCACCTTCCTGGCATCCAGAGACCTTAAGCCCTTTCCCAGTGTATGTTCTCCCTGGATTAACCAGTATTCTATATTCTGCACCTCTTCTCTTTCTCTTGGCTCATTTACCTTGATAGAAGCTGGATTGATACCATACAAGCTCTTGAACTTTTTTTTCCATTCATTATTATATTTGCGAGGTTTGTTCGCTTTGTAGTGTAGTGTAATGTAGGCTAGTGCAGTGTAGTTAGTTGTTAGTTGGTTTGCTTGTTTTTGTTTGTTTGTTTGTTTGTTTGTTTTTGAGACAGGGTAGTCTGTAGTCAGACTGATTTCTAACTTTCTATGTGGCTGGCATGCAACCCCTACACACAAACACATATACATACACACAGAGAGAGAAGAAAGAGATTCAATAGGAACATTAGTTTGTGTGTGTGTTTGTAAAAATGCTTATTTTCTTTCGTCTGGTGATAGCAATCATGAGAACTCATTCAGCTGACCAGCTGAAAATGGATAACTATTTACACAAACACAACACTTTTTTTGCTCACAGGTTTACTACTCTTTTGAAATTAGCACTCCATTGTAGAAAACATTGCAGTGCCGTTCCTAAAATCCCACCTCTATCACTGTCTAATGTAATAAGTACATCCTACCTTCTACTTTCCAACTTGAAATACAAAAAACATCCTTAGATTTTGGTTAGAACATCAGTTTGAGAGTATGATGAACAGTCCAGGTCCCAGTTAAATCTGTGCACGCCTATAATACTAGACAATTTTGAATGTCCCAGCTGTATGTCCAAGAACTCCAGCTTTGACTCCCTGGGTGCATTCATATTTAGGGTCTTTTGCACTCAGACATTGGCTCCACAAAGACCAGGCCTGTCTTTTCCATTGCTGCATCACTTAGCAACGCGCCTCACATGTGAGATGAATTGCTACCTGATATCCCGTGTTCTTATTTGCGTTTATCTCAGGTGATAATTATGGTGCCTTTTTATGACTGTTATGAGCCCATGGTGAGAATGGCCGGAGCGACGCCTGTGTTTATTCCCCTGAGATCCGTAAGTCCCCTGTCCATCTATGGGCTTGAAGAACTTTGTAAAATAGCAATTACTTTGTCACTGAAGATGTATCTTAAATCTTTTGAAAATAATGAATACCTTAACTGAGATGACTCACAGAATCTTCTGTCAGCCTTACAGTGTCACAGTTGCCCATAGTTACAGCTGGCTTCTGGGAAGGAACAACAGCTGTTGTGCTGACGGGATTCATTGTTTCCTTTAATGGGTCTGTACAGAAGGCTCGGGTCCTCTGGGTTCTTGAGATTGAATTAGAGCCTGATTATTTGTTTGTGTTCTTTGTTAGTCATTTATTCAGTTACCTTTGTCAGGTGTGTTTTTAATCTTCTTTCTTCATTAGGTTGTTTGTAAGACGGTAAACATGAATTAATTTGTTCAAATCACATCTTAATTTGTTCAAATCACATCTTTATTCTTCTTGCCTAGAAACCTACTGATGGGATGAAGTGGTCTAGCTCTGACTGGACATTCAATCCTCAGGAACTGGAAAGTAAATTTAGTTCCAAAACAAAAGCCATTATATTAAATACTCCACATAACCCCCTTGGCAAGGTAAGTGAGCCGCTCTGCTTTCGCAGGCTGAGACTCGCTGCTTTCTCTCGTGTAGAATAAGTGACTCTGCCCTTCCCTTTAATATGTGTAGGTATATACCAGAGAGGAGCTGCAAGTAATTGCTGACCTTTGCATCAAGCATGATACCCTGTGCATCAGTGATGAGGTTTACGAATGGCTTGTCTACACCGGACATAAGCATATAAAAATAGGTACCGATTGGGACAGAGTCTCAAGTCTGAATGTGTTGGGCACCTGTGGAACCACTGACTAGAAAGGATCCTAGGCCAGCTTTAAAATAGATGGGTATCTGTGGGAGCGCTTACGAGAAATGTTTAGACGGATCATGCTTGAGTGATTAAAGTGATTAAACATTTGATGGACAAATGTTCAAGTGGGAGAAGGGACTTGAGGTCACTTTATAAAGCTGCGACGCTAGCAGGGTACCTCTTTTGCCCGTCTTTCACTTTGTAACAAGAGTCCTGCAGTCCTGTGGTGTGTAGACACTGGGACACAACTTTTCATGAAGAGGTTCGTGATTGTTTGTGCTGAACAAGTTACCAAAACAATATCAAGGAATTATAGAATGGCAAGCTGTGGCTATTCTGTCCTCGGTGGGATTTTGGCTATCTCACCCAAATCCTGCAGTATTATCTGGGATGGTCCAAGCTCTCAGCTGTAAGACTGTAAGCCACGGAGGTAAGCTTTGGGCCTGGCAGCTGTCTTTCCTTTGCCTAGAAACACTGTCTCTCTGATGCTCACATGACTCCCTTGGGTCTCTGTTCCCTGTCAGTCGCCCTCACCTCCAGCATTTGCTTCCTTCCCTGTTTACTTTGTTTTGTTTTTCCCTCTACAGTTAAACAAGATATATGTGTTTTACTTCTCAATTACAAGCAGGAAGGAAGAGACTGCTATTTGTGTTGGTCTCTTCGAAAGTCCCATTTTCCACATTAGAGTCCTACACCTGCTGGGAGTGAGTGCCTCGACCTGACACCCCAGAGTGACCTCAGGAGACGAAACCTCAGTTTAGGGACTGCCTCAATCGCACAGGCATAAACAAAAGCCTCCATGAAGCATGGTCTTGATTGATGGTTGGTGTAAGGAGGCACGACCCTCTGTGGGTGGTACCATTCTCAGGCTGGTAGTCCTGGTCATTAGAAGAAAGGCAACTGAGCATGAGCCAGTGAACAGCATTCCTTCATGGGTTTTGCTGTGAATGAGTCCTGGCCATGACTTCTTCAATAAGGGACTGTGACTGGAAAGTGTAAGCGAAATAAACCCTTTCCTCCCCTAATGTGCTTTTGTCTGTATTGATCACAGGACCAAAACGCAGATTAGAGATTTAGGAATCAAGTGTCTTTGCAAGATAAAATGAGTAGGAAACTTGGAAAGGAGGCGGTAAAAGATGCACATTTATGCCAGATATGTGTGAACAGAAGCTACAGGTGCCATAATTGTCCCAGTAGTACATTATAAATGGCCACAGAGGTGGGAGGAGAAAAGCAAGTGCTTGAGGGGATTAAAAAGCAGAGCAAGAACCTTGGAGGAGCAAAAACCTTGCAGAAGGCAGCAGCTTGGAAGCTTACTTCCAAGCATCGGGACGCACTTGTAAACCACAACACTCTTGAGTCTCAAGTAGGAGGGTGTCAGGTTCAAGGCCAGCCTGGGACAGATAGAATTAAAAGCTATGGAGATGGATCGCAGCAGCTGGAGTGAGAAAAAACACTCACATATGCTTCCAGACTCCAGCCTGAGTTACCAAGCAGCACCATGACTCAGCCAGCCACAGTGTGGGGGGTAAGCTTCTGCCAAGTGTCTCTAGGACCCTGGGACAGCTCCACCTGGAGATAAGTGGAACTGCAGGCTTAAGGGTCAGGCCCAGACTATGAAGGAGTATGTTTTTTACAGCCATTCAGTTTTTGGTGGCAGCTAGATCCATGGAAGAGGACTAATCTTTTTCAGGGCAAGTATGTAAACAGAAACAGAAGCAAAGGATGTGTGGTTCATGATGTTAATGGCACAGCTGAGTGCTACCATGTGTCCAAATTGTGTCAGAACCCACCATGGCTCATCTTGTTGGTGACCTGTCTTTTCTCAGTTGAAAACTCAGACCAACACTTAAAAATTAAATTTCATGGGCCAGAAAGCTCAATAGAAAGGGAGCTTGTTGCCAAGTCGGAGGCCCTGAGTTCTATCCAAAGGACCGCTGTGGTGAAATGTACTGTTTCCTTAAATGATAAGCACCCAGAGTACAGTATAACTGACATTATTTGCTAAACATATACAAGACTTTTTTTAGAAAGTTTTGTTGCTGGGGCCCTCAGATGCTATGGGGTGTGTGTTGAAGTCACAGGACAACTCTGGGGTCCTGTCTCTCCTTCCACCCTTCTCTAAGGTCCAGCATTGAACTCAGATGGTCAGGCTTTCCCAGTAGGTACTGTCACCAACCAACTCATCGTGACGGCTCCCTCAAGACATATTTTTAACTCAGATTTGCTTTGGTTGTTGCAACAGCCTATGGAATGAAAATGATGCAAAACTATGAATTTTCCGTGTAATTATTTAGAAAATGCAGTCTGTCACGCTGAATCAAGGGTGTGCAACCCATTATAGTGGTCTGGTGGGAAAGATTAAAATACGGCCGTGTCATCAGTTTTGCGGCATGAGGATGGCTTTCTAATGTAATATACTAAGGCCTATCAGCTGCACATCATGTTTCCATGCAGGCTCTGCTCTCTGGCACAACATCCTTCATCATGTCTCCTGCCTTCCTATAAATAAAAATAAATTTAAAAACCTAATAAAAGGAAAGAAAATGGTAGAGAGCTAGGTATCGAGGCACACAGGCACACGCCCTTGATGCCAGCACTCGGAGGGTAGAGGTAGGTAGATCTCCATGAGTTCAAGACCAGCCTGGTGTACCTAGCCAGTTCCAGGCCAGCTAGACCTACACAGTGAAATCCTGTCCCAAAAAGAAGAGGAGAAGGAGGAGAGAAAATGGTCGACTTTACTATTGCTGGATGAGATATCCTTGGCCCAGATATCTCCCGATGACTAGATATATTGAGCCATCACAAGGAACCTTCCTCTCTGTCCCCCTTCTTTGATATACTGATATTTAAAATCTTTTCCTTGTGAGCTATGCAGCTAGTCAGCTGACCCTTAATGGGGGATCCACGTTCATATGGTTAAAATACTATGATTGCTTTTCATGTCGTAGCACAGAATGTCTGCCTCCCCTCTCCTGCCTCCCTGGCCCGGGAGAGCTCTCCTTCCCTTTCACCATCGCCTAACACTCCCTGTCCACCCTACTCCAGCCCTCAGCACAGTAGCCCCCTGCAGCCTTGGAGACCTTAAGCTCTTGAGGCGGGAGCCACATGCTCCTCTTCCTCGTTTCCTCCAATCCCTGGTAATGAGTCACTAAAACAGATTTGATGGGCAAATGTGAATGAATGACTTTGGAAGATAGAGGCCTGGTGACCCACCTCTGGTTAGAAAAATATTCCAAGATTAAAGGTATTAATGCTTATACAGAAGAGTGCACACTTTAAATGGCTGCGTTATACAGTATGGGATTGTTATCTCAGTACCATACATGCAAACATAGATGACAGGGCATTAGTAGGTCTGATTTTCTTCTTAACTGTTCCCAGTGAAGCTGCACATTTAGAAGTGTTGCTCTAGGGAGTGTGGAGAAACAGACTTCGAAAGGAGGGCTCACAGTACTCCCATCCAAAACCAGCCCCTAGGACTACTCTGTGGGACAGTGGCTCGGTGGTAGAGCACATACATAGTATGTGAGAGGTCCTGGGTTCAATCCCCAGTACTGTCCCGGAAAATTAGGTGTTTAACATTGCAACCACGACTAGCACCAGACACCGAGTACCACAGCTTCTGTGACAGCTGACACTCAACCTGTGCTGTTGGTGCTGCTGCCACCTTGGAAATGATTTGCTGTGTAAAACTATTAGATCTGAGCACACTAGGTGGTTCTTCGGATCAAGGTTCTTGTGGCTAAGCTTGAAATGACCTGAGTTTTATCCCCAGGTCCATGGTAGAGAGAACAAGTTCTCAACAGTTGTCCTTCTAACATCCACACATGTGCATGAGCACCCCAACAGATAGATAGATAGATAGATAGATAGATAGATAGATAGATAGATAGA